TGGAAGTGGGAGTAGATATGAGTAGGGTTCTGGCCTCTGTAACTGTACCCACAGTGGACTTGATAGTGCATGCTGAGGATGACTTTGAATCAATACCTTTTATGATGACCAGGTTTACATTTTTCTGTCATACTGAAATCTTTCTCAGCTATACTATTGTTGTTTGTGGACATGTGTGCAGCTATGCATTGTCTCTTCTGAAAACTGGTTATTTGAAATAGAAGTTCTACATAATTTATTCAAGACAACAAATTATTTATTTAAGATACAGGTTTCAGTTTTGTCAGTAAAAACAGAATCTCTTGCAAGAACAAGAACTGCTTTCCCACATAGACAGGAGAAAGTTTATTAAGTGATCTAAAGAGAAGGATTATAACTGAATTCAGCAGAAAGAAATATGTTGGTTTTTTTTCAGAGTGCATGCATTTATGAAATACATTATCATAGTATTTCATACCCTACGGGGTGACATAGTAGATAAAAGAGGAAGTTGAACTCAGTAGTTGGTATTCATGGCCAAAAAGCAGAAAAGAATTGAACTCAAGATTGCAAACTAGTAAAGGTTAAAATTGCTTTATTCTAAAATCACCCATAGTATTTTAATTTCTGTATTGTTTGAACTCTTAACACAGAAAGATTCAAAGCTGCAGTACTTAAAAGATGTTACACACATTAGCACACTCTGTGCTGCATTTCCATATTGTTCTCACCTGTTCTCTCAAGGCCTTTTTCTTTTGCTGTGCTACAGGTGCTTAAATATTTTTTCTTCACTTGGGGAAAATTACATCAAAGTAAAACCTACAAGATAAAAATACTTAAAAAAAATCATTATTGTTATCATTCTATCATTATGTATATATTTCCATTTCTAAAAAATACATTTCTAATATAATTCTATCATTAGATATATTGCTATTGCTAAACAAAAAGTGTTTGAGGTAATCATGAAGCCACATGCTCAGTACATGAGATTGAGTCCTAACTTTCCATTTCTTGGGCCATGTGAAGTTACTACTTCTGGAAAGTAGTTCCACTCTGTAAAGGGATACATACTTTTGTAAGTATAGGTCTAGTAAATGTAAAGTACTGCATAAAGATAAATTTGCTTAAAGAATAATGCATCAGCTTAGAGGCAAACCCTTGCATTCAGCACAGATCAGCACAGAAAAGCAAAGAAGTGTTTTTCTGCCCAGCTAGGCAGTGTGCCAGTAAGGAAGGAGATTTGCCTCTGAATCTGCAAATCTGCTCCAGCATAGCACAAAATATTCAACTATGTAACACAGGCAGAGGGAAAGAAGCAACTGGTCGATATCTCCAGCCTATTCACCCTCTGAAAACTTTCATACACAGAATAAAGCCAGAAAGAGCCCAGTGCAAAATCAATACAGTCTGTAATTGCATCTGTGAGATGAGAATGAATATGATTACATATTCAAATGAGGCATTATTTCCTTCACAGAGGAGATTAAAAGCATCAGTCATAGAATTGGACAATTGGAGAATTAGAGAATCATTAAGGTTGGAAAAGATCACTAAGATCATCTAGTCCAACCATCAAGTCAAACTAGCCCTTCTCACAGGTACAAAATATCTGAGTCGTAGCGAATGGGAATCAGAAAATACTGTAATGCAGTGTGATGAACTAATTACTCTCATTGAATATGGTCTCTTTAAAGCAGAGAACAACTTTAGCAGGCTCTCATACCCAGAAAATATGCTCTTGCTCCTGATGGCTGTTCAAGCTTGTCCTACTGGCAGATATGTGCTTATATATACGAATTTATAAAACATCTGTAAATAGTGTTAATAAAAGGCTTACACACTAAAGAGCACACACACAGGCAAAGGACCATCTCCAAACAAAAAGAGGAAAACACCTTAACTCTGCTGGAGAGTTGATCTGAGGGCAGGCTGGAGGTACTACTGCTCCTGGCCCCAGTTTCCACCCAGAGTACAATATGCAGTGACAGGTAGCCATGTGGCACTGGCATCACCTACTCATGGCAAGTGCCACTAAATATGTGAGAGAGAGAGGAGTTAGAAAGGGCTTCTTTAGCCAAGGCATTTTGAAGTGTGCCTTCACAAGAAGTACACACACAAATTACACCTTCAAATCAGCGGTGTTCAACTTCTAGCCTCTTCCATTTGTATTAACCGCAGAAAATTTAAGCATCTCATTACTAGAAAGAGGAAGAAATCATGCAAATCAAGTGGCAAGGAAAATCAATTTCTTATCAACTGTGAGGCAAATAGCTTTAAACAGATTCACAGATCTTCTAATCAATCCCAAATAACAACATGATTCCTTTGGGCTATACTGCAGAGATAAAGCTCCATGTTTATGATAAATAAGACTTTAACTTGTCTTGGAGAGGCTGTGAAACAAGAAGAAATCCTACACATCTTTTTGGCTTCTCCCTCAAAAGCAGATAGCAGAGGCCTTTGTCGCAACACTTCTGATTTTTTTATTTTTTATTTTTTATAAAATAGTGTATTTTTTTATAAAATAGCTAATGCCTTGGGCAAATACAGCAACAGAGAAGACTAGAAACTATTTGAAATTCCTTGCATAGAAGCTGTAAAAGTAATTGTGACATGTTAGCTCAAAATAAGAAAGCATTTCATTACACTGCAGATGGCCAGGGTGAAGGGAATATGTGAAACAAAATAAAATGTGATGAGATGAAAAAGTGTATTAGAACAATTTGATTAATCTCCTGTCTGGGAGTTTTAAGAAACAGAATCTACAGAAGTCTTAAATTAGAGGAATGATAAGCACATACTTCAGACTTGTGCTTTTTCTGCTTTTAATGATATAGCTTCATTTTATCCAATGGTTTTATTGCTGGAGCATTTTCACATCCTTAAATTATACTTCTTTGGGCAACGTGATATGTGTTGTGTCTCCAGAAAACTGTGATTCTCAAAAAGCTCTGACATTCTCCTTTTTTAGTTACAGCTTCTGTTAGGAACATAAAAGTAAGTTTAAATGTTGAGGAGACGTGGTGTTTATTCAAAGATCACTTTGTATTTTGATATATCACTTTGTATTTGTGATATATATATCACAAATGTATTTTTCACATCTTCATTCTCCAAGATATTGTCATGCCACTTTCCCTGTATTTTTCTTTGAGAAGTTCTTAAAAAATGGAAAATTTCAGGCCTGCTTCATTCTTCATCTGCTGCTTCTCTTACTGTAGCATTCTCATCCCCATGGTATTTGATACTGAGCTGGAAAATTGTTAAGAAAGAAAGGACAGTAGTCTATTGTATTCACTATATTGAGCATAGCTGGCAGGATTGCAGTACAGATGAAGCAGCTGAGACCAGTGTGGGAGTAGACCAGTGGGTGCACTGCACCAATCACATCTGTCTCCAGCTGTCTCTGACACTACTGTGGAACACCAGCTGAAAAATGTGTCTAGGATACAGAACAAAATCATAGAATCATAGAATCACCAAGATTGGAAAAGACCTACAAGATCATCCAGTCCACCTATCACCAATAATTCACAACAAACCATGTCCCCCAGCATGACATCTAAAAGTTTCTTGAACACCTCCAGGGTCAGTGACTCCACCACCTCCACAGGCAGCCAATTCCAGTGTCTGACCACTCTATCAAAGAAGAAATGTTTCCTAACATCCAACCAGAATCTCCCCTGGCACAACTTGAGGCCCTTTAGTCCTATTACTAGTTACATGAGAGAAGAAGCAGATCCCCACCACACCATAATCTCTCTTCAAGAGCAGTAAGGTCACCCCTGAGCCTCCTCTTCTCCAGACTGAACAATCCCAGCTCCCTCAGCCATTCCCCATAAGACTTGTGTTCCATACTTTCATTGCCCTTTTCTGGTCACACTCCAGAGTGTTGATGTCTTTCTTGTTAGTGCTCAAAATGAACACAGTGCTCAAGGTACGACCTCACCAGAGCTGACTACAGAGCAGTGATCACTTCCCTCCTCTTGCTGGCAACACTGCTTCTGATACAAGCCAGGATGCCATTGGCCTTCTTGGCCACCTGGGCACACTGCTGGCTCATGTTCAGCTGAGCATCAATTGATATCTCCAGGTCCGTTTTCTCTGCACAGATTTCAGACACTCTGCCCTAAAATCCATATCCTAGTCTCTACATAGAATTCCAAATGCATGGCAGAGCTGATTGGCACTCAAAAATGGCTCCTGCTTGCATAGTAACAAGTAATTGAGAATTAAGGTGTCAAACAAAAAATACTCTCAGCTAGATTTTTTAATCAACTGTGTGGTATGTATAGGTCTGATTAAAATCATTAGTGTCAATGCAGAATTTGTGAGCGCAGGTGCTTAAAAATTAAAAATCTCCAAGCCTGAAGAAAGGATGAATGCTGGAGTGTAATCTTAGTGTCACTACATGTCTGAGTAAACACAGAGTTAGTGACCTCTTAATGGCAGAGGAACTTTTAGCAAGAACACCATTATTCTGTTTTCGGTTGCTAAAAAGAGATTTTTTTTACCTACATTTATCTAGAAGTCATAAAAAAGCCTAGATAAAAAAATGAATGAAGTTGGCATATTCTCTCCACCTGCACCACTGCATCAGAGTCTGTAACTCATAGTAATGATCATATTTTATTTTACAGATGGGAGCATGCCTTGTATCTTAGCCAATACATAGGATAAGCTCTACGCCTTAAGAAGCCAAATAAGAATTTAGTGAGAAATAATGGTGGGAATTCATTTGTATAGTAGGCTGCACAGAGCATAGAGTACCCTGATCTTCTCTGCTTGCATTATCTTGTAGACTGCTGCAAGTATCCAGCAGTGTCAATGGACACTAACAGAAAGCAACATAAGTTAACTTATGTGACCACCTAACAGTGAATTAAATGATATGAATAACCACTGTGTTCAATACAGATCCAGTCTTAACGTTTGACTACTGCTTGTACTGTAGAATTAGCACAATTTCTTCCATAGCTTTCCACCACATGAAACTTTTCTCTTCCTCTTTTAAACAGCACACAGAACGCAACGTCTCAAGGATTCCAAACAAATGAATATGCTGATGCCCAGCTTCAGGAGATTGTCAGAAAAATGCGGGAAAGGACCACAGCCTATAAGGAAAAGCTGAAAGACCCCGTGTTGTCCTCCCCTGAAGGCAGTCCTACAGCTTGTAAGTGACTCTAGAATACATGAAACAGTTGTGTATCTGTTGAGTGTAAAGAAAATTCTGTTGCTGGAACAGAAAATGCTGTGATAAAATTTTTCAGTAAGTAAGTTTACCTTACCACATCACATTTACTCATTGAAATGGGTCAGTTTGTGCCCAGTGAAGTCAAGTTATCTGTAAGTATTTGCAGTAAGCCAGGTCCCATGGTACAAGTTCCTTTTGAACCACATTACTGCAGAATTTGAGGGAAAATTTTTGACAATGTCTAGAATTGCCTCTGTCAAGCAGTTTTATATATTTTAAAATAGATCCCAAATACCTTTATTCATTATGATGAATCTAAAATTTATGAGGAAACATATCTATCTCACTAGTAGATACAGGCCAGTTTGAGATTAGATCTGTTGTGTGAAAGTATACAATATTCTATCCATGACAGCAATCTTCCAGATACACTGATTTCATAATCAGTCACGCATTTCAAACAGAGCAAACTCATCTGAAATTCATTAAATATTGACTTTAGATAAAATATGAAACATCAAACAAATATAATGCTCTTCCTCTTTAGAGGAAAATTTGCTTTATTTCTTTTTCACAAAGAATCGAATGTGGTGATTTGATATTCTGCCATTTTGAGATGTTTATTGTTTATCCAGTTTTTAATAAACTTGGAAAAAAATAGTGTCAGAAGTATAATGAACTGTATCAATGAATAAAAGAACTCCATTTTTTTTTTTTTTTGTTTTAAATTACTCTTCACTCATTTACCTTTTTTGTTCCCCTCATAGAGCTCACAATTATTTCTTTCCAGTCGCTATTGATCCACTTCTTAAATTTGCTTCTAAGATTGCGTAGCCTACTCAGAAGTAAAACAACCAGAATTAATTGGACAAATATGTGGGCAAAATTATCCAGCATAAAATGGAAGAATGGAGCTCAAAGGAATGACACTAGGCTTTCTCACCTTAGAAATATACAAAATCATAGGCTTCCCATTTGTTTCACCTGCTGTGTCGTGCATATCAGATCTCACACAAGGGGAGAACTCTGCCTGTGGCAGTGATGTCTTTTCTAACCTCCATCCTAATTGTACACATTATATGCAACAATCATACAACAGGAAATGCACGGGTGAATTAATGAAAGCTGAATTATGAATTACTTCAGTCTTTTATGGCACTTGTTCTGGGCACTGCCCAAGGAACTGCAGTAACATATATACTGCACTCAACATGAAGTTGGGTGATGATAGTATTATTAGCAATGATTTTATTACTAGTATGACTATCACTATTAGCGATAGCAGATGTGTGTGATTATATCAAATGTTATTTTATTCTCCAATCTGCTTTCTAATGTACTCAGTATTACAATAAATTGTAGCTTTAATCACTGCCAAGTGTGTTTAGAAGAGTTTTTTAATATGATGAAGGTCTTGTATTTGTTAAAATAGGATATTGTAAATTAAGCCACTGTTAAAATCTCACATTTTGTGGCATTCTATGTCACTAGCACCATCAAAGAAGAAGCCTCCACCCCCACCAAAAGAAGAAAAGAAAGAAGAAAAGAAAGAGGAAGCAGAAGCAAAGCCAGAAGAGGATCACTACTGTGATATGCTGTGCTGTAAATTCAAGAAACCTCCACTGAAAAAGTACAAGACCTATCTAAAGCTACCAGACAGCATAGATTCATACACAGGTAAATTAAAAGCTGTGCTTTAAAATGGGGTAAAACCATGTTGAAGTGATTCAGTTTAACATTGTACTTGCAAGCCAAAGTAAGATCTACATCATAGTTTGCAATTCAGAGGCACACATATATTGTACCCTCAAGAAATTTAATTCCAAATAGGGAAAAGAATGAAAACTGATGAGAGTAGTAAATATTTAGAAAGACAGAGCAATTTCTCTGTTGCCACAAAGTTGGTGTATAAAATAACTGCAGTCTCATGATCTAAATTCTGTCCCATTCATTAGGGCCACTTAATTCTTGCCAGTTATAGCATGTCCAACAAAACATTCTGAGCTTTTTCAGATGCATTAAATTTTAAATGCTTTCACAAACTCTTCTTTTTGCCCTTTTGCAATTTCTAATGTAATTCTTAGTTTCAACCTGTGTCACTTTATCAGCCTGTGCTAATTAAAAAAGGGATAATTATAAGCAGCTCTCTCTGCAGGAAGGTTCCCAAATACTGCATTAACATAACTATGTCTAAAAGAATAAGAAAACGTTGTGATTTCATATCTGTAAATGCAATGTTCTGTCTTTCAGATCGCCGTTACGTAGCTTGGCTCATGCTTGTGACAGTGGCCTATAATTGGAATTGTTGGTTTATCCCCCTTCGCTACGTGTTTCCATATCAAACTCCAAGTAATACAATATACTGGTTTGCCATAGACATCATCTGTGATATCTGCTATCTGTGTGACCTGCTGGTTTTCCAGCCCCGAGTGCAATTTTTAAGAGGTGGAGATATAATAGTAAGTATAGCAAGTGGGATTTCCACAGGTAGTGACTATGCATTGAATTACATTATAGAAATCTGCTAAGGTTTTTATTAATGTACACAACTTTTTGTACATGTACATGTAATGTACACAACTAATGTGCACAATCAAAACTACACAACTTTTTTGGTCAGCAAAGTATACCTATATTCTTCTTCTCTGATCTTTTATTATTCAGTTTTGGAAGAAGAAAGCATATGTTTTGGGCTGCATTCTGGACAAGCATTGGAATTTTGCATAAGAAAGTCCTTAAAAATAGTAGAAAATATGACTAGAAAATAACAGATGCAACAGGCAAAATAAGCATAAAGTGCTTTCTTACCAGGAGTAAATAGGCGCACCTTTATTGGAATGAGTGATTTTATGATTATATGCTCATATGTGCATATACATTTTGGCATGTTTTATGTGAAACATTCAACTTTCCATTCACATTATTCAGGAATCACAGCTGAAGACATCACATGTTCTGCTAGAGCTGGACAGGATGTAAATGTTTTCTTACTGATAGTGAGATTGTAAGATTTTACAAAAACAATCTCAGGATATTTAAACAATTATTTATTTGAAATCTTTATGGGGGGAATATATATATTATTAATTATAATAATATATATATTAATATTAATTATAATTATTAATATATATTTATAAACAACTCTGCCTTTTGCTACTGTTTTATATCTTCTTTTTACAGAATAATGCAAAATAAAACCATTAGCACATGCCTGAAAAATGGTAAAGGCTTACTTTCAACATATAAATAGGGCATATAGAGCATTGACTTCCTTAAATATCTTTCCTACTTTCTATTCTGTAACATTTTATAGAAGAAAACCAAATGCACAGAACAAATGAGTTTAGAATTTCCATGTGACACTATTATGCCCAATAAACAAAAAATTCAAAATCATATATATTCAAAATCAATTTGGAATTGGATTTACTTCACTGCTTTTATGTAAAATTCTATATATTGTGCATAAAAGAAATTGCTAATACATTTACAGAGGAAAATCAGATAGAGCTACATAAATAAAGTGCAGATAGATATTGAATGCAGTGCAATGTATTTTTCCATGCCTAGCCATTCAGTAACTGGCAATCTTGCTGAAATCCTACAAAATTCAAGTTTTATGAACAAGGTTTAAATTGTAATGGAGGAAGCTAACCTTCCATTTCCCTGAAATAAGACCACTGAAGCTGTTTGTACAATACAAAGATTTTAGTGAGTGAAGAGATCATCTCCTGCTGGATCTCCTGCATTTAATATAATGCCTAAAATGGTGATAGTAAAAAGTCAGAATGGAAATATTAATATTTAAGGTTTTAAGGCTATTTTTAAAGTGCTCCTGGTATAAATTCAGTAAGTATAATAATAGATACATTTCTCTGCTCTTGTGATTTGCCCTTCTTATTAAGGTATCAAGATCAGTTCCAAAGGACAGTAATTTAAAAACAAATGCCTAATCATTACTAATGAATGCAACGTTGATTATTATAATACTTAAAGTGCTAGTATGTTAATGTTGGCTTTCAGTGAGCTAATTTTGTACAGCTCTATTAGAATCATTCTTTGCATTTCTCTAGAAACTACTGATGTCAAAAAGATCTTTTGGCCCCAGAATTGAAAAGTATTGATCAAGCAACATCTGGTACAAAGACTTTGAGAGGGAAGATGCAAATAAAGCATACTTCATTAGACAAAAGCTCAGATTTGGATAAAAAGCAGATAAACCCCAAGGTCTAATAAAATTTAGCTTAAGGAAAAATTGGTCTAATGAAAATACTATTTCTTCATTGGATTAATTGATATTACTCCATTCATTCTTTCAGACCATTATTAATAGGAATATTAAAAACTTTATTGTTAGAAGAATATTCTTACTGTAGAGTAGCAAAAATCATTCTTGACTTGTGGTTCTTGACTACACTTTTTTCTCTTTCCATCATCACTATAGTCAGACAAAGTGGAAATGAAGAAATTCTATCACAGCACTGTAAAGTTTCGGGTAAGCAGATCCTTCATTACTGGTGTCAATACTGTTGTTTCTGACAGAAGGATTCCATGGGATCTTTTCTTTCCCTGAAAATCACAGTTGATTTTAAAAGTCAGCAGAAAGAGTAGAGTTGATGGCATGTTAGTTCTATCTGAATATGGTGTTGCTTCATCCTTATAAATGTTATTTACTTCTAAAACATAATAATTACAAATGCAATTCTAAATAATAATAATTTGACAAAGTAAAATTAATAAAATTCACAAAATCATAGATTATTAAGATTGGAAATGACCTTGAAGATCATTTATTTGAACCATCCACATATCACCAACATTGACCACTAAAATACATCCATAAGTACAACATCTATGGATGACATGGAAAGGAAAAACATCCAAACACAACAAAAGCCAGTATCAATAATAATAATAATAATGTTAATAGTAATGAGATCCTATGAACCCATGATGGCCGCTCAGTTTAAAAACCCCAAGCACGTGGCTTCGGCCATTTGCTGCGGTGATGTGCATCAGAGCAGGTAAGACTGCGCTGGGCAAGGGATCTCAAGTAAAAGACTGACCAAAAAAGCTCTTTTTAGGGCTAGTTTGAAGCTAGCAGTGGTGCCGTGCTGCTAGTGGGGATCTAGCAGCTTGTGAGCGGGATCTTGACTCGGCGGGGGTGGTGCCGGCTCGTCGGCCGCTCACTTTAAACCTCCGCCCTTAACGTTCGCACCTGCTAATAAGCAGTTCACACCTTCTAATAATCCATAAATTGCATCATCTGCACACAGCAGAGTGAGTGTGAACCATTGTTTCAGCCTATTGAGAACTGGGTGCTAACATGGTTTCTACCAGGCAACGAATTTATTCCAAGAAAACTGTGGCAACCCAGATAGAGGGGCTGCTCAGAAATGTGGCTGTTCAAGTAACTGGCTGCAGGGACTGCTCGAGCCTGCTGCTACCTGGGGAGGATGGCAAGGATTACACCTGCGTGAGGTGTGAGCAAGTGGATGAGTTACTCCAGCTGGTGACTGAACTTAAGGAAGAGGTACAGAAACTTAGAACCATCAGGGAATGTGAGCGGGAGATAGACTGGTGGGGTGACTGGCTGGCAAGTCAGAGGAATGGGTGCCAGGGAGACACCCTCACAAAAGTGGTGGACCCCCAGCCCCATCAGAATAGGACAGACCTGGCTGATGATGAGGGTTGGACGAGAGTCCCTGCCAGACGTCATGGGAACCCCCCCTGCCTGCCTACCCCGCTTCCCCAGATCCCCCTTAGAAACAGGTTTCACATGCTGGAAATGGAAGGTGAGGTGAGCCATGAGGTGATGGAAGATCTGCCGAGGAGGGAGCCTAAGGCAAGGAGGGAGTCTAGGGCGAGGCGGACACCCCCATGCCTCCAGACTGCCTCTGTAAGGAAAGAAAGAAGGGTGGTCGTGGTGGGTGACTCCCTTCTCAGGGCAATGGAGGGCCCCATATGCAGACCAGACCCAAGCCACCGAGAAGTATGCTGCCTCCCTGGGGCCCGGGTCAGGGACATAAGTAGGAAAATATCAAAGCTGGTGAGGCCCACTGATTACTTTCCATTGCTCATAGTTCAGGCGGGCAGTGAAGAAATTGCTCAGACAAGCCTACGGGCAATGAAAAGAGATTTCAAGGGTTTAGGGCGCTTAGTTCAAGGTGCAGGAGCACAAGTAGTCTTTTGTTCTGTACTAGCAGGGGTGGTCTGGGATTCAGAGCTTGCACGGAAGGTCCAAACAATGAATAACTGGCTCAGAGGCTGGTGCCGAGCCAGAAACTTTGGATTCTTCGATCATGGGGTAGTTTACTCGGCCCCTGGCTTGCTCTCCAACCATGGAGCTCACCTATCTCAAAGGGGGCAACGAATCTTAGCTCAGGAGCTAGCGGGGCTCATCGATAGAGCTTTAAACTAATTATGACGGGGGAAGGGGACAGTACAGGCCTAACAGGAGAAAAGCCTAGGGGAACAGTTGTAGAGCTGGGAGTGAGGCAAATGACTCGGCTCAAGTGCATCTATACCAATGCACGCAGCATGAGCAATAAGCAGGAGGAACTGGAAATGATTGTGCGCCAGGCTAACTATGATCTAGCTGCTCTTACTGAAACATGGTGGGACTGCTCCCATGACTGGAGTGTTGAGATAGATGGCTATAAGCTCTTCAGAAGGGATAGACAAGGAAGGAAGGGCGGTGGTGTGGCCCTTTATATTAAGGACTGTTTTGATGTTGAAGAGCTTGAGATTGCAAATGATAAAGTGGAGTGTCTATGGGTGAGGATCAGGGGGAAGGCCTGTGAGGGAGACGTCGTAATTGGAGTCTGTTATAGACCACCAAATCAGGATGAGGAGATGGACGAAGCATTTTACAAGCAGCTTGCGGAAGTCGTGCAATCGCCGGCACTTGTTCTTGTGGGGGATTTCAACTTCCCTGATATATGTTGGAAATATAACATGGCGCAAAGAAAACAGTCCAAGAGGTTTCTAGAGTGTGTGGAAGATAGCTTCCTTACACAGCTGGTACAAGAGCCTACCAGGGGTGGTGCCCTGCTTGACCTGCTCTTTGCTAACAAAGAAGGTCTGGTAGGTGATGTGAAGGTTGAAGACTGTCTAGGGCAGAGCGACCATGAAATTGTAGAGTTCTCTATTCTTGGAGATGTCAGAAGGGTGACTACCAAGACTACTATCTTGAACTTCAAGAGGGCGGACTTTGACCTGCTCAGGACGCTTGTAGCACGGGTCCCTTGGGAGTTGCTCCTCAAGGGTAAAGGGGTCCAGGAAGCCTGGACACTCCTCAAGGTGGAAATCTTAAAGGCGCAAAAACAGGCTGTCCCTGAATACCGTAAGGCGAGCTGTAGGGGGAGAAGACCAGTGTGGATGAGCCGGGAATTACTGTCAAGACTCAGGAAGAAAAAGAGAGTCTATGTCCTGTGGAAGAAGGGACAGGCTACTAGGGGAGATTACAAGGAAGTTGCAAAGGTATGCAGGGAGGAAGTCCAGAAGGCGAAAGCCCATCTTGAACTTAGATTGGCCACTGCAGTAAAGCAGAATAAGAAATCCTTTTACAAATATATCAATGACAAGAGAAAACCCAAGGATAATCTCTGTCCTTTAATTGATGCGGCAGGGAATGTGGCCACAGATGACAAGGAGAAGGCTGAGGTCCTCAACGCCTTCTTTACATCTGCCCTTAATAGTCAGACCAGCTATCTTCAGGGCACTTTGTGCCCTGATCTGGATATCTGGGCTGACATGCAGCGTATCTCCCCAGAGATCGAGGTGGAGACAGTTAGAGAGCTCCTCCTCCATCTGGACAGTCACAAGTCCATGGGTCCGGATGGGCTTCATCCTAGGGTGCTGAGGGAGTTGGTGGGGGTGATCGCTAAGCCGCTCTCGGCTATCTACCAGCGCTCCTGGTTGACTGGAGAGATTCCAGAGGATTGGAGGCTTGCTGATGTGACTCCCATCTATAAGAAGGGCCGTAAGGAGGATCCGGGGAACTACAGGCCTGTCAGCCTGACATCAGTGCCAGGGAAGGTCATGGAACAAATCCTCCTGGGAGAGATCACACAGCTTGTCCGCGGGATCAGGCCCAGCCAGCATGGGTTCATGAAAGGCAGGTCGTGTTTGACCAACCTCATCTCCTTCTACGACTGGGTGACCAAACTGGTAGATGAGGGAAAGGCAGTTGATGTAGTCTACCTAGACTTCAGCAAAGCCTTTGACATGGTCTCACACAGTATCCTTCTGCGGAAACTGGCTGCCCATGGCCTGGACAGTTTTACCCTCCGTTGGATAAGGAACTGGCTGGAGGGCCGTGCTCAATGGGTGGTGGTCAATGGAGTGAAGTCCAGCTGGAGACCTGTTACAAGTGGTGTCCCCCAGGGGTCGGTACTGGGGCCCATCCTGTTTAATATCTTCATTGATGACTTAGATGAAGGGATTGAGTGTACCCTGAGTAAGTTTGCAGATGACACCAAGTTGGGAGGTTGTGTCGATCTGCTTGAGGGCAGGGAGGCCCTGCAGAGGGATCTAGGTAAGCTGGATCGCTGGGCTGAGATGAATGGGATGAGGTTTAACAAGGCCAAGTGTCGGGTTCTGCACTTTGGCCACAACAACCCCAGGCAGCATTACAGGCTTGGGGATGAGTGGTTGGATGATTGTGAAGAGGAAAGGGACCTGGGGGTGTTGGTTGATGCTCGGCTGAACATGAGCTGACAGTGTGCCCAGGTGGCCAAGAGGGCCAACGGCATCCTGGCCTGCATTAGAAATAGTGTGGCCAGCAGGAGCAGGGAGGTGATCATCCCCCTGTACTCAGCACTGGTCAGGCCGCACCTCGAGTACTGTGTTCAGTTTTGGGCCCCTCACTACAAGAAAGACATTGAGGCCCTGGAGCGTGTCCAGAGAAGGGCAACGAAACTGGTGAGGGGTCTGGAGCACAAGTCTTATGAGAAGCGGCTGAAGGAGCTGGGATTGTTCAGTCTGGAGAAGAGGAGGCTCAGGGGAGACCTCATTGCACTCTACAACTTCCTGAAGGGAGGCTGTGGTGCAAAAGGATCTGGCCTCTTCTCCCAGGCAAATAGTAGGACCCAAGGAAATGGCAAGAAGTTATACCAGAGGAGGTTTAGGTTGGATATTAGGAGAAACTTTTTCTCTCAGAGGGTGGTCAGGCACTGGAATGGCCTGCCCAGGGAGGTGGTGGAGTCGCCATCCCTGGCAGTGTTCAAGAGGCTCCTGGATGAGGAGCTACGAGAGATGGTTTAGTAGCTTGTGGCACTAATAGGAATGGGAGGGTGGTTGGACTAGATGATCTTGCAGGTCGTTTCCAACCTTATGATTCTGTGATTCCGTGATTCATGATGAATATTCTGTATGCAACAGATGGCTTTTGCAGGCTGCAAGCAAAGAGTCTAATTCACCATGCTTTCACACTGCTTTATGCATCCTGGCTTTAAAAGCAGTAGAAATTTCATGTGGATTTCTCTCTACACCTCTGCTTTCCAGTCACATGTCTATCGTTTCAGTCTTGTCAGAACCATAGTTGAAATAACAGAATGTATTAATAGCCAAACATCTGAGACTGTCAATAATTCCTATGAAACAGGTGAAAATCTCAGACATGAGAGACTTAAAAGTAGGGCAGAGCAAAACTGTTGCTGTTTCCAAAGAGATAACCTTCCCTAACAGTACTTTGGTTGTTACAGGCACAGCATGCTGACTGTTGAAATTTTATACTCAATCATGATTTAATCTAAGTAGGTTTTTGACAGCAAGTAAGTGCATTACAATTATTTTGGATTTTAAACTGATCTCTTTGCTCTTCAACAGCTCGATTTGATATCAGTATTGCCATTTGACATTCTATACTTTTTCTTTGGATTCAACCCAGCATTTAGGGTAAACAGGATGCTAAAGGTAAGTTCTTCATTAGTGATAGATGACTAACCACACATAAATGCTTCTAAAAGTCAGTGAAATATTGTTTATAATATTTAGGAATATGGAGCTTAGAAATTGGAAAATATCTTCAGGAATCATCTGAGTCTATGCAGCATCAGTAAAATAAGCAACAAAGAATACAAGTCAAGATATATTCTAGCCAACCCAAGTCCTTACTCTTATTTTTCTTGTGACTTCATTATTTCCTACTTTCTAAAGGTGTCTTGTGTTTAACACTGATTCATTTTCATTATTTGAATTTGATTAATCATAAATTACATCTTTAGTTTTCAAAGATCCGAAACATTCATTTAAGAACCAATTAATGCCAACGTATTTTCTCCTGATGGTAATGACAGGTTCTGAAAAGCAAGCATGTGAATTTTAAGGACAGCATAAACTGTACACAGCATATATAAAATTCATAAACAGAGTTTTGTTATAGACTCCAAAGATGTGGAACGTGCAATGGAGAGGCTGAGGTGGGGCTACACAGCAGCCCTCTCCCTCCCTTTCATTGTACTTAACAGACCACTGCATGGGTTAACAGGTTCCTTGCAGGCAGGGACAAACCCTTCTTGAGCTCTCTGTGCTATATAGGCTTTGCATAATTCCCTTCCCCATTTTAATGGCTAAATGTGACTTTGGAACCATTGTCTTTTACTTTCTGTTGGTAAAACTGCCTCTGCAGTCACAGTCACGATCAAAATACTGAGTATGCACATCCAAAACTATTATTGATAGTTGTGTGTCACAAGGTGAAAGTTTGTTTTTCTTACAAATCATTTATGAAACTGTACCTGACATATGTAGTCAAACATTGACAGTCGGCTTTCGTTACATTGAAGGTACAGATGGAAACTATGAAAACAAAATGATGGTGCTCTTCAGTTTGCAACAAAACTTCAAACTTCTATAAGTCAGACTGCCCCTCTGCTGCCATTTGTCACACAGCTATAAAATGTAATGAAATATTGACAAGAAGGTTCAGTCTCTACTGCCATACCACCAAAATCTGTCTCCGACATTGTGGGTTAACATAATAAAATGAGAGGCATTACTTTCAGAGTGGTCCTCATATACCCATTTCAGGATACAGAAGTCATTCATCAGCAGAAATCTGACCTCTAGAATGAGTGGGGCACCCCAAAACGTTCTTTTATTCAGTTTACCTCTTTGATTTGCAGTTCATCTCTTAGATAAATTTATAAAGTTAGACTGCTGCAAATTACATTATTTTCAGAATATGTATGTGAGCAACTGTCAGTACTACTGAAGAAAAAGATATGGGATGGAGGAGAGTGATTGGATTACTTTCACTTCTTTTCCATTCAGCATAACACATTCTTTGAGTTCAATGATCGTTTGGAAGCTATCCTGGACAAAGCATACATCTACAGGTATGTGCTTATTAAATCCTTATAATATGCAAACCCAGGCACAGAACACCTTCTGTTTGATTTCATAAGTTGCCAGTGAAGTACAGGATGGAATTTGGTACATCTTTAACAGTTCCATTTAAGATTTAAAAAAAAAAAAAATCTTTTAATCTTTATTGTAATCATTCAAATAATAAATGTAAAGCTTCATTCACATAGGGAATCCTGTCCATCTCAACTGGCCTGCTCGAGTACAGAGGCTATTTTCAGGTGAGATGTTCACCACTCTGAGGCTCCTGTCAAAATTTAACTTGTTTGAAAAATCTGACAGAAGTTTCTTTGGCTAAGGAGCTAAAGAATGGCATCGTAAGGTTTCTAATAGCAGTGTCAAATCCTCAGTAGTTGTTTATTTGAAATTAATAGTCATGAGCTTGAGCCTATGTCAAAATTTTTCTTCAAATATGCTCTACCCATGAACTTGGAAGTTTGATCCTTCACTACAATCTTCGAAGGAGAATCAGTTCAGTACAGATCTCAAACAGTGATTATAATTCTTGTCTATTGTTCTCAGCTTCTGCATTTCCCAGAATTTTGGTTCCAATTCAGGCAACTCATGGACATGGATATGGCAATTTTCACAGCTGCCTCAGCAGTCAGTGTTGCTAGAACTCAACTCGTCTACTCTTTCACTAATCCTATCAGCTAATAATAGTGTCACCAGTCCTAGATTATCCTGTGTGATTCTTTCATCAACAGATTTCTTTGTCTCAGGCATCACAGAATCACAGAATCACAGAATCACCCGGGTTGGAAGGGACCCCAAGGATCATGTAGTTCCAACCCCCCTGCCTAGCAGGGCCACCAAACATACACATTCAGATCAGGTTGCCCAGGCATGGGACAGGTTGTGCTCCTTTGTGCTTCTGCAGCATGAATACTATCTTATTAAAATAAAGACTAACATCTTATTTTATTCCAGAAATTATTATGCTTGTAGACTTGATATTCATACATTGCAAATGAGATATTTTGTGTAATGTAGAAAATCAAAAAGGAAGTTGAAAAATTCTTTTCACAAACTCACTAGTTTGAGTTTGTAGGAATAGAGCTAGCAAAATTTAATACATCTTATCTACCTATGATGTTGGATTTGGTACTTGCCCAGAGAAATACAATATGCATAGTATGAAGGGCTTCCAGAATCTTTGTTAAGGCCTCAGTTCACCTGCCTAGGTTCAAACCTGTGCACTAGATCCAGCATGGTCAGTACTGTAATATTGGTAGATTATGTCAGCTATCTTCTGTTCTTAACAGCTTACAGTCCTACGCAGAGCTGTCCTGGAATCACACCAACATTTAAACAGAGAAATGGCACTCACCTGCTGGCATCCTAAAGAAGAGTGCACATAGGCAGATTGCTCAGTGGCATGGGGATGCAAAGGAGGGTGTGCAATGGCAAAAGAAGAACAGGCAAAGGAGAGCATTCTACTGAAGAAACCACAAAAATAGGATCTCCTTTTAACTTTATGGACCTAATTCAACCAGACTTCATTAAATTTTCATTTAACCACACTCTCAGTTACTGTACACTCAAACTGTACTGCCTTTAGCTTTAGTAGATAGTGTCAATACAGAGCAGTCTGAGTGTTTAAGCAAGTCCTGTACTTTTCCTTCTGTTTATCCCTTGGATACATGAATGTTTGACTGGAAAGCTAAGTCCTGGAGATCTTCCTTTTGATCTCCATGCACTGAACAGAGGATACACAATGAGATCATTACTGTATTAAATAGAAAGCCACTCAGTGCTAAGTAGTTCATCACTGGTGTTATTTGAAGAACCATCCATAAGCATAAGAACTGGGATTAGGAATGATATAATGCCTGCTGTAGCTACTAAATCATACCATTCAGCAGATCTGTTGTAGGCTTCCTAGTAAAGCTCTTGTAAAACATTTCATTTCTGACCTCAGATATTTCTGGGCTCCGGTTCACAGATTTGGAGCCTATCTTGAATAGGATTTGGCAAACAGAGACATTTGTACCCTCCAGCCTCATTAATATAGTTTCATAGCCAGTTAAAGACGTGGATTATGAAATTCTGAGGAAACCATAATTTAAAAATGATCCCGTGTCAAACATTCTAGGAAATATATCATTTGACCTTGGACAAACATGAGAGACAGGATTTTTTGCTTGCAATTTTTTCACAGAGTAAATATAGTTGGGGAGCTACTTAGTGGATGCTTAGTATATACTGTGTTTACACAAGAAAAAAAAAAGAGGTCCCATATTAAAAGGAGGAAAAAAAACTACTAGTTTTTTTAATAGGAATTCAGTCATCTGTAATTTGGAATCTGTTGACTTTTATAGGGTCATTCGAACCACTGGATACTTGCTGTTTATCTTGCACATTAATGCATGCTTGTATTATTGGGCTTCAGACTATGAAGGACTTGGCAGTACTAGATGGGTGTACGATGGACAAGGAAATATGTACGTACTTTTCTCTTGCAAGCATTTTCCCTGATTTTGCTCCTTCCTGTGTCCCCTCCCTTCCCCATGACATTGCATGCAGGGTATATGTTGCTTTACAAGTGCATAGGTAGCTAAGTTTTAGCACCATGTCTACTGAAGAGCAGCTTTCACTACTAACACATATTTGGAGGGCAGGTGCAATGAATAATTGGTTTACTATTTTCAGCTTTTATAGGTTTATGAGTCAGTACTAAGCACTAACTTAATTAAACATTTAGAAAGCTACAAGAACCATAAATTTAAGTTACTGATTGCCTGCGCCCGTGGGAACTGTTAAAAGGATGGCAGAACAATACCTCAAGGAAATTGGAGGCACAGATTTTTTTTCTGCCACACAGCATTGTGTCATTAAAATGCAACATTTTATTTTTGCTAAACACCATCATGACTGTTCTGAAAGAAATTCTACTGGATTTCTTTAATCTTTGGAGAAGGGCGTGCTTAACCATGTGGCAAGGGGTGTCCCCAGTGGGAAGGAGTGGGTGTTGACACTTGACACATTTTTCAGTAACTCCTTGTGACAGCACAAGGCTGGACGCCAGATAAGGGGCACTCATTAAAATGATGGAAAGGAAGCAAAATTAAAATAAGCAAATTCCTAACATATTCTGAGTATAGTTATATAAAATCATATACAGAAAATTCCTATGTATGAAATAATTTACATTTCTTTCACAGACCATAAAATAGTTAAAGACACTGAGGCTCAATTTGTTCATTAATTACATTATTTGCAAAACCACATATAATGTACTGTTGATGACATAAATTACCCGTAAAACAACTTTTCACGCTTCTCCGTTAATAGCTTGGAGACATGCTCTTATTGCTTTAAGTTTTTTTATACTTCTCAACTGTGATGTGAAGTCACTGTTTTGAAGGGTAAGAAAAATAGCCTTTGGAGTAAAACATATTTCGTGTAAAGTAGCATTGATTTTTTTATAATTAGGGTTTCCTCTTAAAAAAAAAAAAAAAAAAAAAAAAAAAGACATCTGAAGTTTTCACATACAACTAAAATACACAGCTTGAACACGGTCACCAGATGAAAGCTAGCAGAACCATTGCTAGTTGCAGGAACATTGCAGGTTGCTCAGGGGAACAACTTATGTAAGTAAAGTTACACAGGTATTTATTCACGTGATCAAGTATTCTGGATATCTCACAAGAAAAATGTATATTGAAGTTCTTTCACAGCTTTTTCAGTTAATGTCATTCTTGGGAATACTTGCCTCCTAATTAAAAATCAAGATAACTACGACTAAGCAACCTGAAGGCTCTCAAAGTAGAGAGCTTACTCAGTCTTTAAGCTTTTAATGCTTTTTCACAACAGCCTAGAAAATAGAAAATTCTTATCTTTCACAGTAAAAATATTCTACTTTCTACATTCTACATTCATGTGAAAAATTGGTAGAAATTATTTGCTAGCTCGACCACAGACAAAGCAATTGTGCACAGAGGCAATGGTCAAGTTTTAGCATTTTGTGGTATGTTTTCCATGAGAAGACAGAAACACTTTTCATATGATGTTACATGGAAATCACATGGGATTTAGGGTAGAATTTATTATATTTATGTATTATATTTACAATAATAATAGATTAGTAATTTAAGTCTTTAAACTGAGATGATGAAATAAAATACAGGAGTATATATTCCCATACATTTCAGTAACCCATTAATCTACCTCATCCTCACTGGTGATGAATGTATACAATTAGTCTTTAACATCAATTTAATTCATGCTGTATTATAAAATCCCAAGTATGTTGAAACCCAAGCTTTACTCCCACTGCAACAAACCCAAATCAGACACTCAAGATGTTCCCTGCATTAAAACTGCATTTGATGAACTTCCTGTAATTAGGCAACAGACTTCAGTCCTTCCTAACGCAAGTGAATATCATCACAGATGCAGCACCATGATGCAGAGTTTATGTGAAGAGAGCAACAGGATATTGAAAAGGTCCCTTAATTATAGATAAGTGAACAATTTGAACCACATGTGTTTATTTTCAGTCTAGTTCAGCTATGTAAGAGATTTGTTTAATTCCTTGGGAAAATGAACAAATTCTCTAGCAAGTGAGTCAAAGCAGGAACCTAATGTCATTGTTCTGAATTGACCCCCAGGCATATCTGTCTCCCTTGCCATTGCCTCTAAGGAAAATTAAACCCAGGGAGCTAAAATTCTCATGCAACCTCATCTATTCAACATGAAAATTAGGCATAAATCATTTCACTTTGCTTATAATATATCTCTTGTGCCATTTGCAAGTCATCCATGAGTGGAATGCAAAATTCCCCAGCATGTACACTAATCAAAACATCCATTTGCATATTAATAATGTTTCTCTATAGATTGATGCCTTCCAGCTCTGAGGCAACTTAGCAGGTATCTGGAAATCACAGAATACAGAATCATAGGATGATCCAGGTTGAAGACGACCACAACGATCATCCAGTTTCAACCCCCTGCTATGTGCAGTGTCGCCAACCACCAGACCAGGCTGCCCAGAGCCACATCCAGCCTGGCCTTAAATGCCTTCAGGGATGGGGCATCCACAACCTCCTTGGGCAACATGTTCCAGTGCCTCCCCACCCTCTGTGTGAAAAACTTCCTGCTAACATGATCACTGTATGTGCCTAGAATGATTCAACTCCTTTGGTTTGCAGTGTTCCCCCAGCATGCAGTAAGACTGCTGTAAAAGATATTGTAAAAGATGCTGCATATGTGCACATCAGCAATAAACCTACAAAAACTCTGAAGGGTCACACTCCTAGTGTTTGCCGTAGAGATCATTTTGTGCCTCTGGAAAAAAATGTGAAAGTCCAGCCCAAGCCTTATAGACGTCAGATCTAATGCTTTCAGACCTGCTGCCTGTAGCTATATTTCCTATAAGCCTTTGTAGTTTACACCTCACTGTCTGAGCTCATCATGCCCACTATTACTCAACAAATAGGTCACCCAGGAAAAAATAGGTACCAAGAAGGACATCATTAGAACACCACCTAATAAAACCTCTATTCTACTTCAAATCTGTCCTTGTTGTAATCAGGGAGGAGCCCTGAAATAATTCCTCACTCAGCTGTGTGAATACCACCTTAAAATCTGACAGCTGTATGAACTAAATTTTCATACATCTATCAGATTAACCAAAACTATGTAAAAATTTCAGCATATTCTAAAATAGACTTTTATGAGGAAGATATTTTCACTGGCATAACATTACAAGGTATCTTAAATGCAGTATTTCTAAACTTTTTCATACCTAGGACTTATTCTAGGAAAAAAAATCTAGAACCTGGATTGCCTGAAGGATAAACATCCTGGCTGTGCTGTGCAAAAGGAAAATCCCCTTCTTGTCTCAGGTTGTTTGCTCTAACAGTAATCATACAGCAGTCAAGTAAGCCGTATGGTAAGCAGTGATGTTTTCCAGACTCTCTAGCTCACTGGAAGCAGAACTGCTGACACCACTGCAGCTGTAGTCTTTTTTTTTGCTGTCATTCCCTAAACAAATCTTGCAGTTTAATTTCTCAGGAAACTTGTTCCCTTCTATTTCAACTGTTCAACAGTTATGTCTGATGAAAAAAAAAAAAAAAACAGTAAAATAAATAGAGAAGATAAAAACCTGTGCCTAAGAAACAGTGAATATCATGTCACTTTGCTAGTAGAAAAATTCCTTCAAAGTAAAATTCCAGAAAAACGCTCTGCATTAATGATGTCCTCAGAAAGAGGTGAGCAGCTGTGCAAAAATCCTGAGAATCTCCAAAGAAGCATAGCTAGGGCTCCTAAATTCTTCCAAGGAGCTGCTTCCATGTCAGATAGAGATGACCAGAATGGAAATTATATCATGGACAAACATGATAGATGTAACAAACCTGGCATTCAAGGTCATTGTGAATGAGAGAGTTGGTTAATTAGCTTCATTTCCTCTATAATTAGCACAGAAGTACTGCAAATTTCTTCCATTTTTATATTTATAGATTCTACCTGTTTCAAGCGCTACAAAATTCATGGCTGTAACGAATGAATATATTAATCTGCCCCATATGACAAATCCCCTCAGACAAGATAGAGACATCATTTTACACCTAAATCTGTAGTTCTTCTAACACAGAGCTGAGGCTTGCTCTTCCTTTTTCTTTGTGCTACAGAACTCAGAGAGAAAGCTGCCTATTACGAATATTTTGCTTGAAGCGTGAATAGGTGATGCTTTTTTTGAGCCTAAGTTAAAATTTTGTATTGGTGTAATTTAGTTCTCCTTTCATCATCTCTAACAAGGAAAAATGACACATACACAATGAATTTTTTGACTTACGGACTCTGAATGGAAACTACCAGTTCTGTCTGTTAAAATCTAAAACACAAAAACTACAGTAGAAGTAATCACCACTACCGCATTTCAGAAATCTGAGAGCAAGAAAAATGTGATTGCAGTGAAAACAATAAAAAAATTGCTTGGTAAATTCTGATGTTTTAGGTGAAATACTTGAAAGCACATTCAAGTAATTTAAAATGGAACATTATTCATTGGAACTAGTTGTTATTGTGAGTTCATTCTCTTCTAATTGCACAAAACTGACCCTCCAATAGTATTATTAGATGGATCATTTAGTAGGGGAGTTCATATTTTAATAAGAAAGGATTTAAAGGAAGAACCACCAAATTAAAATGTACACCTGAAGACTGCAGTCAGATCAGGGGACCTCAAAATCCAGGCATGCATGAGAAGATGCATGATAGATGCATGATACATGATAGTCTCAAAACACTCATCTCATAAACAATTTCTTCTTTCTTTATTTTGGGGAGGAGTAGAGGGGTGGGGGGGAATCCTTTGTTTTGTGTGTGTTGTTTTGATTTTGTTTGCTTTTTTTATTTCAAACTCAATAAATCTCAATAGAGAGAACCTTGATTTTTCAGATACAGTCATCAGTGAAATGATAGGAAATCATACTTTTAATCATTACAAAAGTTGAAATCTAATTGTATAGAGATTTATAAAATCAAATTCTAACGAGTGAACGAGTGTGAGGTTTTGAAAAACATTCCCACAACAGTTGTTTGTTCACTCAGGAAAAAAGGAAACAACAGCACATTCATGGCAATGATCAAAACTAATTAATCCCCAGATGCATACTATGGAGGATGCTACACTACTAATAGTACCATGCTTTAGCATGAAATTTTAAAAAGAGTTATAGAGATGCCAGTTTATTTACATAAAGATTTAGTATGGCTATTCTCATAAAATCTGAATAATTAACTCTGTACAGGTCCTTTTTTTTTTTTTTTTTTAATAAACTTGAATGGAATAGACTCTTGTATGCATGGGGCTCCAAAAAGAAAACTGTAAAAACAGAACAAAAATCTTTGGTCAAAGGACTCACTCTAGGGTACAGGAAGTGAGATAAAGCAAATAAATGAGTACAGTGAAAGTCAATATAACCCACAAGTCACAATACAGTCTTAATGAGTGACCATTGCTTACTGCTATATCTGGCTTCCAGATGAAGAGAATTTTTGAGAAAAACTTGAAGGGTGTTCACATGGTAGCCATGGATAGCTCTTCCCAAGAATGGGGGAAAGTAGTAAAGAAGGCAAGAATATGTTCGCTGGAGAGGTAGAAAGGGTAGTGGAGGGCAGCCACTAGGAGAAGTTAATGCAGAAGCCAATCTTTTGGTGCTGCATTACAGAGAGGTTTGGAGCAGCTGGACTAACATGCAGCTTGCGAGAAGGTGTAGCTTCTATTTGACATGACACTGGAGGTAGAGACAAAAAAAGACCACTCAGAAGCAACGTGAATAAGGGGACAGAAAAATTAGGTGACTGCATTTCATTTGTCATACACAACATAACGCTTCTCACTGCCATCATCAAATGAAACCACAGAAGACACTTTCAAGACGTGCATGCATCTAGTCTGCTACTCATAAAATCTGTCAAGTCTTTACACCAAGTCTTCTTGAAGTCTGCCTACTCCTTGGCATCTTCACTGGTCAAATTCTAATGCAGTTATTTCTACACAGGTAGTTTCACCTGTAGAAGTCTTCTGCATTGTTCCACAAAGTGGGTGGAGAATGTGAAACAACTGATGCATTCTCTGTATATTGCATTTTGTTGTCAGTGAGAATATTCTGTTCAGTGTGATTTACATAACTGTATCAACTAAAATTATAACTGTTCATAAAAAATGTTGAAGGTTTTTGGATTGAAAGGCATCACTGAAATGGCCAACCCAGGCATGTATATATTTAGCTTCAATCTGCAGTGCAAACCTGCAGTGGATAACAAAATCTCTGTCTGTATCCACAGGTACCTGAGGTGTTACTACTGGGCAGTTCGTACTTTAATCACCATCGGTGGCCTTCCAGAGCCACAAACATTGTTTGAGATAGTTTTTCAACTGCTGAATTTTTTCTTGGGTGTCTTCGTTTTCTCCAGCTTAATTGGTCAGGTACATCAAAAATCCAATAACTATATACGTTCAGAGTACTGCAATGTAAAGATAATACATCCAATTTTGTTCTATTTTTTTTCCAGGAAAAACTTCAGCTTCATTATGAATGTCCCCCTTTTTACTATCATCCATACTAATTCTTCTGATCACTGCATGTGTTTACTGATTTCTCAGTTTTGTAACTTTTTGCTCACAAGCTGACCTAAAGCTGTTAATGGAAATGTCAGAATTTCTGTCAGACTAGAATTGTGCTCTCTTCCAGAAGACACAAAATATTTGTTAACCAGAAAACTGAATATTTATTTTGGCTTTCATTTACCAGGAGGGAAAGAAAAAGCCCATAGCAAAACAAATTAGTTATACTTTTAAAACAAGCATAATCCAGCATGAATGATATCCAGTATGGAACTGTTAAAATTGAACTTTAAATCCATAGGTTTTAAAATACCTTGCCTCCAGAAAAACGAATGGTGAGACTCCTATGTCAAACTATATTGGATTTCTGTACAAATCATTCCAGATCTTGTGATTCATACATGTCTACTATTGGGAGAATTAAGAGGAAAAGATAAAGATGAAAACTGGTACAATTTATTGGCTTAAATTTCAGAGTTTACAAGGGTGTAAGTCTATATTTTGCTAATTTGACATAACTGTCAAAGTAGATTTGCTTCTGGCAACCAGTGTAGTTAACTGCGGAATCAAAACTTACTATAAAAACAGCTTCATTTTAGTTCGTTGCAATTCCTGTTTATAAAAAGATCTTAAACTATTCCTGTTTAATGCACTTCTTTAAGACTGTTATTTCTTTTGTGATGAATTTTATTTCTGTAATCAGGAGCAGAACTTACCCCAGCAGCACACTGGGCCACTGCAGTATTAAGCCATTCTGCAAAATAAATGATATTTTTGTTGGAATGTCAAATCATGTTCCTGCACAAAAACGTTCAAGATCAACTTATGGCCCAAAGTGGATTTTTAAGACTGATCGAGATTCAGTTAACAATTTAAAACTGGCAGGATATTAGTTCTCTTGGTGCCAGCCAAAGTTATTACAGAAGTTTGGCCCAGTTTTTAGGGACAGGACAGGGGGGAATGGCTTTAAAATTTGATGTTAGATTTTAGGAAGAAATTTTTCACTCAAAGGGTGGTGAGTGCTGGCACAGGCTGCCCAGAGAAGCTGTGGATATCTCATCCCTGGAGGCACTCAAGGCTAAATTGGATGGGGCCTTGGGCAGCCTGATCTGCTGGGTGGCAGCCCTGCCCATGGCAGGGGGTTGGAACTGCTGATCTTTAAGGTCTCCTTCAAATTAATTTTATGACTCTGTGGTACAATGTCATTCATTTCTGGCTTGTGTGGCACAACAAATGCAGAATAGCCTTATTACAGGTATTTAAGAAAACACTATCTGTATTTTTCATTCAATTCTAGAAATAAAAGAAGAATAAGCAGAAAAACACAAATGAGTTATTTAAAAATTACAATGCAGTCTGTTTCTTTCACAATTAGCTTATGTCTTTGATGTTTTTGAAAAAGCAGATGAAGCAACTCTATAAAACATAGAACTGAATGCATAATTAATCAGGAATTTTGTAAACAAATGTTTTACTCCTTTTTTATGTTGTTGACAAGATACTCAAATGAAGACTGTTTGTTGAAATGTGCAGTAACATAACTGATGTTTGCAGATGAGAGATGTAATTGGAGCAGCTACAGCAGGACAGAACTACTACCGTTCCTGTATGGATAACACCGTCTCCTATATGAACACATACTCAATTCCAAAACTAGTTCAAAATCGTGTTCGAACCTGGTATGAATACACATGGGACTCTCAGGGAATGCTGGGTAAGGCTTTCCAATTCCATTGACGTTCCAGCTTGAAGTGAGTGATCTCTGCAGATATGCTTATAAGGTGAAATGTACATTTCTTCTTTACTGAATTTCATGGGAGAGGGTGAGAGGAGGATATTCAGTTTCCTTCAGAAAAGCAAAAAACTCCAAAGTAATATGACACTACGTCACAAATTTTATTAATTTACATAATACTCCAGTTATATCTTTGGACAGCACACATAATACAAAAGAAAGTAAAGGCATATTAGCCATCTTCCTCATTTGAACTCAGGAATGCACTAATTACTTCACAAACCACTTGACTTCTGTGAAGTTATATTTCTATACAATGCTCATTTTTACAGACATCCTTTCTTTCCTTTATATCTGCATATTTTCCATCTAACAATGATTTGTTGTTTTTTGTTTTCTTTTTCAGATGAATCAGAATTACTGGAGCAGATGCCAACCAAAATGCAATTAGCCATTGCAATTGATGTGAACTTTGCCATTGTCAATAAAGTTGACCTATTCAAAGCAAGTTCTTTAACAAAAGACTGCAGTAATGTGTAGTACTTGTAGGCTGGAAACCTTGTTTTTTTGTATCTTGCTACATAAAATAACATGTTTGCTAATACTCAAGGCAAACTAAGTCTATTATATACCTAAGTCAGTGGAGACAGGACAGGAAAAAGCCAAGGGATGACTTTGGTTTTGTGTGTGTGTGTCAAATCAGAGATAAAAAAGAGCAAATGAGGTTAAGAAACAGTCTTGTCATATTGACCCGTTAAAGCTGATGTTACGGTCAGAGCCTAAGTGATTGCAGAACATTGCTAACCACGGCCAGATACAGAAGAATATGATTTTTGGTACAGTTCACCTTGCTGTCTACTGCTTAGCCCTGCCTGAGAGGTCACCAATATTACCTGTTCTGAGAACATAACTTCAATGTAGTGAAAGCTGTATTTCAGAAACATTTTGTTCAAAGAACTTCCTCATTGTTATCATGATAGGTTTCCTGAGAGACTGCTTTAAAGCAGTACTTAACATTGGATTTGTGATACAAAAAGTGGAAAGACATTGCATTTTTAGAAGTAATCTTGAAATACATTAAGCTTAACAGGTTTGTTTTTTTTAGGGCAATTGCAAGAAATCATGATATCTCTGTTTAAACATTAAATAGTAGAACTGTTTCTGCGATATTTTCTAAAGACATGGCATTCACAGATTCGTACCAACATTTTACATGATCTGCTTTTTTTTTCTGGATCAGAATTAAAAAAATATATAAATATATCCCTAAAAGATCTACTACCCACAGCAAATAACACTGTGTTTCCACAGCAGTCAAACTTAGATGTACAGAAGCTTACTGCATTAAAAAAAATAAATAAAATAAAAAATTAGAGATATTCAACCCAAAGAGAACTGTGTTAGCATCTGAAATGAAAGTACTTTTGTCTCCTTTATGAGCTGGTCCTTGCCATGTTTTCCTTTTACCTGCCTCTTACAAAACCCTGGAGCATACATGCACTACTTTGCTATCCAGTGTAAGCACTAATAATCACTTGTGTTCTTGAATCAATACAGCATAATTCTTTTGACAGGGGTGTGATACTCAGATGATATACGACATGCTGCTAAGGCTGAAATCCATTGTGTATTTACCTGGTGATTTTGTCTGCAAAAAGGTGAGCTCTGTGGTGTAGTAATGCATAATAATATGTATTTTTGAAAACTGAGTTCAGATAAAGGTCAAAAGTAGCCTTCAAATAAAATTAATTCTGAGTGAAGTAGATAATATAAAAATAATTAAGATTCTGTGTATAATAACAAATTTGCTCTCAAGTTTCAACCTAGAACAAGACAATATGGATTTTATTATTATCTAACAAATTATAGTAGCATGGGAAAGTACTTACTGTAAATATGACTTATCTGGTGACACTTCATGAAGTTGATATTTAAAATGGAGCAAGCTCAATTTTTGTACAGTTATATATACAAACTTAGCCTACAGATCTCAGTCCGTGATGCTTTGCATGTGCTTCATTTGCATATTACAAACTCTGAAGCTGAATTCCCAAGAATGTAGAAAATACAGTGCATCCCATACTGCTCCCTACGGCAGGACATTGCTCTGTATTCACTCCGTGCCATCTCCAAACTGTGAGCCGAATGCTGTTACATTGTCCCTTAGGATTTTAGATCATACATGGCCTTACATAACAAAGGTAGACGGCTCATCTTCCGACCAAGTGATCCCAAGTCTGTTTGGTCCAACAACCATAGAATCAGTAGGTAATCCTACTGATACTGTAACTTGTAGTAGGGAATAAAATCCTGTTGGAACTTGAGAGCTGGGAGCACCTCCTATGTGGGTGCACATTGTCCTCATCACACTTCACCTAGGAGGCTCTGACAGGTTTGCAGAAGCAGATTATGAGATAGAAGTATAAGCCATACGTTTTCAATTCTGGTGGTGTTGCTGCTGCATTTTCACTTTTAAATTGAAATTGCTGCTTTACTCCAGTAACATAAGCAGAAAAATAATTATTTTCCTGTCACTGAGATACAAAGAGTACTGTTATAATCATGTTTACTCCAGGTTGCCTGCTTTTTATGATGATACTGATGAATCTTAGCAGGTCTTGTGGAAGATAATAGTCAGGCTATAACCCCTTAAACCATCCAGTCATTACACAGAATTTCACAAATTTTAGAACGGCTGTTTATTCTTATTTTCCTTGTAAATTAGTTAAGCGAAGCTTGGAAGTAACAGAATGAAAACTATGAAGCACAGGCTTTTTTGCACTTCTCTTCATTAAATATGCTGCTGAATTACTTTTGTTTCCACTAGAATAGAAGATGAAAATGACTGATACAATCCTGGTTGTTATTAGTCTTCATTTTTTAGGTTGGCCTGGATGGTTTAACTCCTGCTTAAACACTGCCTCACATCAATTAGATACACAAAGTCAGTCCTCACACTTGTGCTCAGTGCTAGGCAAAGTAGCACAAACATTTATTTCTCCGTAATGCTGGTAAAACTGTGCATGAGAAAGGGGAGAGACATTTACACAGATGTTTGTCAGATGATTGTACTTTAAAAAGAAAAACAATAAACAGTGATCATTATGTATGCATTTCTATGTCTAGGGAGAAATTGGCAGAGAGATGTATATCATCAAACAAGGTGAAGTTCAAGTCCTTGGAGGCCCTGATGGCACAAAAGTCCTGGTTACACTACGAGCAGGAGCTGTATTTGGGGAGATCAGGTTGGTCCACCAGTGTTAATAACACTTTCCTCAGAAGTGGTTAAATAATGAATGATTAAATAAATGTTTAGTTTCTTTCTGGTAAGCATGAGAGATTGCACGGAAAAGTTAGAAAGCTGGGTGAGATCAACCAAGAGAATGCTGAGCAGAGATGTACAGATAAGTGAGGGAAAGTCCATGTAAGTGAAACATCAGAGACTAATCTGCCAAGACCTCAGACTTGTAAACAACAAATAATGTATAATCAGTATTCAGAACAAGGTACACAAGGATACATGGATGGATTTCTCCTTCAAGATTTAAAAGGTTGAGCATATCTTCCTATTCCAAAGTCTGCACAAAGGCGGAACCGAATGTATTTTATTGCCTGTATAGATAGACTAGCTGCCCTTACACACTACAGAGTAAAAATGTTAATTTCCAACAAAGGAGGTAACAAATGTAAAATAGCAATACAGATTGATTCATTTATGAGCTGAAGTAGAGATTAAGTTGCTGAAAATCAGCATCTACATTTTCATTTTCATATGTATTTGTTTAAGAGAATACAAAAAAGAAAAGGGCTGACAGACCAGGCTTTTGGGTCTAAGTTTCTCTGGAGGAGAAAACTTTCCTTGAGCAGTTACAAAAGTTTTTTATATTCTCCATGTAGCTGCTTTGCAAAATCCATTAGCTCTTCTTGCCTTGTTCACCAGTTAGACAAGTAAGAGCTAGATTTTAGGTACCGCATTCCCTACTGAGGTCAGACTGAGGGAAAGAAACAAAATACATGTGCTGCTGCATGTGATAAACTGGATTCTTGATTTCTTCCAGCTGCACTCTTGTTACTGTTAATCCTCTTAAAGGTAGCCTTAATCCATCTTTTCAAAAGTGGTAATCAGCTCTGTGTTAGGTTTATATTTATCTTCTGCTGCATCTCCTGTTGTGGTAGTGGAAACTTTCCCAGCCTTCTCAGAGCTGCGCGTGGAGAACACTTGATATACCCCATAAATACAGACCTTCCTCGTTGAGTTGGAAAGTGAGGCTATATCAGATAAGGGCAAGAAGGTTATTTTAAAAGTGTTTCTCTGTGTGACAATACAATACAAGAGCAAAGCTTCAAAATAAAATGGCGTGTTGTGTGCTATGCAGAAAGTCTCAGAACACAGTGATTTTCAGGTAGGAACAGGTACTGAAAAGGCAAAAGAAAAGCTTCAGCATCCCAGAGATATAATACATACACAGTTTTCAATTATTTATTAGTTCTGCACTTGGAGCAAGGACATTTGTTTTCAAACTGAGGAATGTTCATGACTGATTTGAAAACAAGGAAAGGATTTTCAATGTTTTGATCTAACAAAAGTGGGGACTTATTTCCAGATGAGATCCACACAGCTGCCTTTAAAGATTCATTTCCCAGTATGTTTTACTCTTCACACAGTTGCCAGGATGGCCAGCAAAGCCCTCAGCAATGCTTTAAACCTATGCTTGTCGTCTTGTTTTATTCATCATTGACCTACTGTGTTGGTGGAGACAGCATACTGCTACAGACCCTGTTACTTTGCATATAAATGACAGGCAATGGATAAACCTAAGGGGAAAACACATAGCAACTGGCAGAAATCTCTGAAATTGAAAAGCAAAGACATGAAGCACTAAGTATACCAGCAGAAATTTATCCTTTTCCTTGTGGCAGTATGTTAGAAAATAATGAGTTTATACAGTGCCCTTCTGTACAAGCTCTGTCAAGGTCTTCTGAGTACTGTACAGCACAGGAAAATGAAAAAGAAAAGGCCTTTAATGAATGAAATATTGCTTTATTTAGCACATCCAAGTTTTCTCCTGAGCATTCATATTGTAGTAAGCACCTGGTATTGAACTGTCATAATTTCCACCTGATTTTTTGAATCAAGATTTGTGTAGAGAATCGTGTCAGCTTCATTCTGAGTGGTTTAATCATATGAATTATAAGATACTAGCTATTTAATCTCACGGTTCGAAATGCTTATAAATCATGCTTTTAAAGTCTCTATGGGCAAAGGAGTTGAAGACAACAAAGAATGTTCATTCATTTCAAAAATATTTCCTGAATTATAATAGAAGGCCAATGCAAGACTGATGTTCAACCCAGTCCTTTGCCAATCCTGTTTTAAAAATTATTGCAGATATAGATTAAGCAATAGGAGCTGCCTTCCAATGAACATCTTACCCTCATTACTACTTTCCTGTACTGATAATGTCATCTTAGGAAAGAAAAATAATCTCAGAAATAGGGGCAAAAAAAAAGCTGCCATAATGAAAGCCTGTCTGCACAGACAACTGAGAAAGGAAGAAATTCAAGAGGGGGAAACTACAACACAACACTTCATTAACCCAGAGAACTGTACACATCAAGCTAGCTGTCCTAAATCATCCACTTATTATTACCTCACTGGAACAATTTCCCATCAGAAAATGGAAATTCTGGAAAAATAGCAGCATTTTTGGCAGGAAGATTTCTAAGTGTTTGGCTTTGTTTTTAGCCTTTCAGTGATGTTCTAACTTTAACTTCCCTTTAAAAACTCAAAAACTAAAGGGAATATTTGTGAAAGACTGAGTTTCTACTTTGGCCCAGCAGCAGTAGCTGCTGCTTTTCAGTGAACTCTGACATTTCAGGTCTGACATTCGGCTCAGACACGAGATCCAGACTCCTTCCTGATTTAGCAGCTCTTTCCAGATGTACAGATATGCCCAGCTGAAGAGCTACCACACTGCACATTCAGTTGATATGCACATCATTCCCTGGATCAGTTTGCTAATTTCAATGAACGGCTGCTTCCTACTGTGCTCAGCTATAAAAAAGAAATAGATATGCTAAGTCATTGCTTTGACAACTTCATACCTCCAGATTTAAATTGCTATCATAAGAATTCAGAAGTTATCATCTCATATAAGTATAAAATCATTTCAGGCTAACTGCAGTAAAAACCATAAGGTAAAAAGGCAATTTTCCTTATTACTGTAGATGTTATAGCGTCAAGAACAACTGTAGGGACAATGCCAATTATTTGTAAATATTTAGTCTACCACACAACTTTTAGCAGAATGGCCAAAACAGAGTCCATAATGCTGTTTTAGTCAAAGAGGATTCTGTTTGAGCAATGACTGCCTCCCTCATAAAATTCCCCTCACGTCATCACCGTAAGAAAAGAGCTGTTCTCTTTAGTCCTATCTGCCTCAACAAAATGAGCTTGTTATTAGGAAAGCCTGAAAATGATTGTACAATTACTTGTTGAGAAGTGATTTATCAGAAGTCAAAAACTGTTTGCAATTTTCTTCAACTGCTTTTCTTATTTTGCAAATACTTTTCTGCCTGGAAACTGTACAGGATTGTAAAAGAATAATATGCTGCATTTTATACTTGACTTCATAGGTTGATTCTTATCTTGAATAGCAGCAAAACTTTATGTCTGTGTAAAAATAGCCTCATACACAGAATTCAGAGGTCTTGTGATCCTTTATAAATCAATAATATTATCAGTAGAATCTAATGCTTATAAATACTATATGTATATCCTTAATACTAAAAAGTAGCATGGGTATATCCTGATCAGTATTGATGATAAGTACAAACTCATTTCTGATAGGGTCAAGACTATCCTTTATCAATAACTTTTAAATTTAGGTATTATAAAATATTCTTTTATGCAGTAACACACTGTGAAACATTTTAGGGAAAAATCTCTACGATGAATCTCCTCAAATAGTGATAAAGCAATTTTACTACTAAGAGTAAAATGCAGCTTCTATTGCTTAACATCAAACATTAATCATAGAATCCTTAGAGTTGGAAGGGACTTCTGAAGGCCATCTAGTTCAACCCCCCTGCACTGAAGAGGGACTCCACAGCTAGATTTGTAGTATGTTCAATGCTGTGAATTAACTCTTTTCATTTCATTTTCTTCATTCAAAATGGACAATTTAATTTTTATGTAGATATCCTTCCTATGTCTAACCCCTGCTAAATAAGCTGGTCTTACACTTTACTTTCTAAACAAAATAGCCTTCAGTCTCTGACAGACACATTTGTAACTGTCAGCTTGAAAGGTCTTCCAAATCCATATTCTTAAACTTGCCAACATCCAAATGTGAGACATGAGAAAACCAAAACCCTACTCAAGTTATTCACTCAGGAAAACTACAATTCTTGGAGTCATTTATCCATTGTAAATATGCCTTCAATTATAATGTTCTCATGCTGCTCTCCCTATTGTATTAAATCATTTTCAACAATAAAAATGAGGAAATGCCAAGTTCACACAAGGACTAAAACAGATGCAGTCCTTGCTGTGGAGTCTCTTGGGAGAAACGTGTCCAGAGAAGGACAACAAAGCTGTGAAGAGTCTAGAGCACAAGTCCCACAGGAGTGGCTGAGGGATTGTTCAGTCTGGAGAAGTGGAGGCTCAGGGGAGACCTTATCACCTTCTACAACTGCCTGAAAGGAGGTTGTGGGTAAGGGGGAAAGTTGGCCTTTTGTCCCAGTTAACAGCGACAGGATGAGAGGGAATGGCTTCAAATTGCACCAAGGGAAGTTCTCCTTGAATATTAGGAAATACTTATTCTCCAAAAAAGTAGTAATGCACTAGCAGAGGCTGCTCAGGGAGGTGGTAGAGTCACTATCCCTGGAAGTGTTCAAGAAGTGTGGTGTGGCACTGAGAGATGTGATTAGTGGGCATGGTGGTGATGGGTTGATAGTTGGACTATATGATCTTAGTGGTCTAATCCAACCTCAATGATTCTGCGACACGTGTCTTCTCAGCAAGACTTTCCACAGTCCAGGACCAACAATCCTGACCTGAAGTGACAATATGTCTTCTTCATATAAGAAGATATTTCCAATCACAACTGCAAAGGGACTTCATAGAAATCAGATAGAACACTTGGGTACATTAGTGACCTGCTTTGTTACGTTTTCAGTGGAAAACCAACTTCAGAGGTTCCTCACTAAGTCAAGTAGTGAGGTGAATAACAATGTTTATTTTCATTGCAGCCTATTAGCCGCAGGTGGAGGAAATCGAAGGACTGCCAACGTGGTGGCTCATGGTTTTGCCAACCTTTTCATTCTAGACAAGAAAACACTCAATGAAATCTTGGTGCATTACCCTGACTCAGAAAAACTTCTGATGAAGAAAGCAAAGTATGTCCTAAAAAATTTTTTTAAATCACTGTGTTTAGCTTTTTAATGGATAGTTGTGGCTCCTAGACATATTCCCATTCATTTCTCTGGAGAATAATGTAAACACATTTGTATTTAGAGGTCAGATTTGTCTGCTAGTACATATGGGAAGCCATGCTTTCATGTCAGGAATTCCAATAGTTGTGAGAACGTGGTAAATAGAAGAAAGTCCTGAGTGCAGCTGCACTTCAGGTAACAAAACAAGAGGCACAGATGTGTATCAGGACAAAACTCCTTACGTAGACAAGAAGTCAGAAAATGCAAGACAGATGTGAGTTAAGCTGCAGGTTTTCAAAGATGCAACCAAACACCTGCAATTAGTTCTATAGAGATATGCTTCGATGCACCCACTGGCTTGCACTGAAGCTGATCTAAAGTAACACCTGGTAAGATGAAAGATAAGCACACAGATCTGAAAGGTGTCCATTCTGTGCAAAGAGATTCTGAAACAGGATTTCAAATCAGAACTGCTTCTTGTCCTCCTTTCGCTGGAACGCAGTTTAACCTGGCTTTGACAGGGCAAAATGCTGTCATATTTTGCCGTAAGATTATGAACATGATTGCCTTACTACCTTGTAAAAAATTGAAATGCATGAATAAGACCAATAGCACACACTTTTGGCTTTCAGACTCAGTGAGGGACCCCTAAACAGGCTGATGCGATGCCCATGGCATCAAGCAAGGTAAAGGTAGGTGCACAGATCTTGCCCATCTGCTAAGTGTTTTCACATCTGCGGTCTTCAGAGATTAGACTTCAATACAAACAGGTAGAAAGACAGAACAAGCTCACTGACTGATCATCCCCCACAATTATCCTTCCTGACTTCCAGCTTGTTTCTAAACAGTGGTACAATCATCATTACTTCTTATTTCTGTTTCTATGCCCTGCACTATCTTCTCCTGCTTCCTTGCCCACTGTAATCATATCCTGCTAAATCACTGCACTCTGCTTTCTCCGTGCAACTTCTCTCAATGGTAGGAGTTTAATAATTACCCATCCTTCATATCTACATCCCCATGTGGGCCCAAAGTCCTCTCTAGATATCAATCTTAAGAAGGTTTTGTAATTTAAAAAATGCGCAATTTAAAAACCTGTGCAATTAAAAAATTATGTAGTGCCTTTCTTGTACTGGAGGCCATGCATTCTGCTCACCTGTCTGAGTATTTACTAAGTCTGTGTATGCTCTGTGCATCATCAGCCATGTCTCCAGAAAAACTAGGCACCAACAGAAGGCTTGTGTTATTTTGACAGAGATTTGCAGTTCAAATTTGGAATCAAACTATCAGTGTTCCCAAAGTTACAAAGTATGAATTTCTACCATCATCATTCATTCTCACTTCCTCCAATTATGGTTGCCAACCAGCACAGCTACTGAAAGATGTGAAAATCTAGTAATTTTCATATACTCGGGGTAATTTACTGAAGAAGACCAAAATATGTACCACCACCTGATACGACTTAGGCTAAAAGTTTGGTTAACAGTTACTTCCTCGAGAATCAGTTAAACTCCAGAGTAATAAATGCTCTCTGAATTTGTATCCAGACATTCAGCAGAGAGACTTTCTGCCTCTTGTACAAGGCATCCTTCCCCTGCAACTATTTCTCACCTTATAAAACATATCTGCTTTGTAATACTTTAATTCGAGCCTACACCAGTTTAAGCTGTAAGAAATGAGAAAGCAACTCCAAATTAAAACAGTATCCTTCAATTTACTAGATACTACCAAAGCCAATAAAGCCCTCACCCTTACCTGCTTTCCTCCTGCCACTGAATCTAGGATTAAAAAAAATTTCTAGAGAAGTTGTCAGCTGTTCATCCACACATGACATTTTAGTTTTGCCAGAACTTTTCCAGATTTCACTGCACTGCTGTGTGTCCCCATTCCTTCCTGCCTCCAGGGTGTTGCTGAAAGAGAAGGGGAAACCTGCTCCTGGACCACCAGTGCAGCAGCCCCGGGGCTTGGCCAGTCTGTTTGGGCAAAAACAGGAAACTCCAAAACTGTTTAAAGCGATGTTTGGAGCTAAAGGAAAAGGAGGCCTTGCTAAGCTGCTGCAGCTGAAGAGAGAACAAGACATTCAGGTAATGTCACAGATAACAGAACAGATTCTGTCAAGTGCTGGATAGAGAAGTAGGAAATATACTGGGAGGCTTGGGCAAATGGAACAGATGGAAACACAGCTTTAGAGCAACGAGTAGCAAAAACTCCAAGTAGCTGAGATACAGTCATGGTAATTAATCTCTGTAAATTTGGACTGTAGAATTTGGCTCAAATCTTTCTTGGTCTGAACCCTAGGAAAAACAGAGAAAAACAAGAGCAAGGAAAACATAAGCAAACATAAACTCTCAAGAAAAGAAAGGATAAAAGAGACACTAAAAGATACTAAGAGCATCTGATCTTCTAATTTTATACATACAGAAGTGAACACAACTGTCCAAATGCAGTAATCCTATCCAGTTGACTGAAGCATAAAGAGAGCTTTCCAGTTCAAAGTCAGACCTTTGCTAATAAGAAATCTTGAAAACAACATTTCAAGTAGAGACCACACAGCTAGATCTGTTTAAATATGTGATACTGTGCATTTATGAGAAAGCTTACTTCAGTTGATTAAAAAAAATTCCTACCTTATATTCTGTTTAGAGAAACATTCATATTAGTAAGAACCTGTTCAGTTTTAAGTATTTGCCCAGAAGAGGCACAATACTTTTCTGGCTTTTATAGCTACTGTTGGGCCGTGTTTTTACTGTCTTTTAAATGAAATAAAGGACTTTGCTTAAATGAGGGACTACAACAGCAAGACTGAAGCAGAAACTTCACCAAATTTAACGCATATTTGCAAACTTCAGCACAAATAGGCTTGGCCAAGGAAATGAGGCACTGGAGAGTATGTTGAGAATCACAAACACTTTTTCTTTCTATTCCTGCATAAGTGCATAAAGGAAGGTGAGACCTGAGGAAAGGTTTTGTTCACCAAAGCTTGCCTGTTTTGTCCAGCTGTATTAATGAGAAGGAGATACTATCGCTACCCACAAGCTCTTCCTAGTTTTATTGTTTTCTGATCTTGAAATAGTATTTTTCACATAGAAACTGATTTTCAGCAGCTGAATACAAGTTTATATACAAGTTGAATCCTATTAATCTTAGTATCACATGCCATGCTTTACCACTGTATATACAGTGCAGAATTTTTTCCTGAATTTGTTTTGCAACAAATTCATGTTCATGAAAACATTTAACATTTTGGTTATAGGAACATGAAGCTGAAGCGCAGAAGACTGAAAAAGAGGAGAAGAAACCACCAGAGCCTGCAGCCCCATCTGCACCCCCTCCGAAAAAGGAAGAGCCAGAAGCAGACACTAAGCCTAAACCACATGCAGTTATGCACAGAGGAACCACTAATGAGTCTCTGATCATCACTATGTCTCCTTCCCCTAGAGCAGGAGAAGGAGAGATCCTTAAAGTTGAAGCTAAAGAGAAGAAAAACAAATAGATGGTACTTTGGGCCGCGTTTTGTTGAACTCGAAGGGCTCAGTGTGACTTTGCCTTTGGGTACAGAAGATAGAAATAGAGGCTACTCAAGAGAGAATCTACCCCAGCTATTTTTCTTCCCTCCTCTCCTGAGGCAACGGGACAAATTGTACGCTTACATCTTAATCTTGAGTCTGAAGAGAGAACTGCTTGTGTAATAGGAATTAGATATCTGATTGCATTTCAGAACAGCTTGCTTCTTGGTTGATCTATGCTCTCCATTATCTCTTACTCTGCCTTGTTCCTGCTTCTCCTTTTCCCTCTCCTGTTTATTCTCTCTTCCTTATTATTTTTCCTCTTTGTTAGTTTGCTTGTAATTTTCATGTCTGTTCTGCTCTACTTTCTTTTCTGGTTTCCTATAGCTGTCCTGTTCCTTGTTACTTCACTACTATTGCTGAGGTTACTCATGTTTCTGTCAATCCTTCTCTCCCCTCCCCTTATACTTCTAATCAGCGACACGCTTTTGTGACAGCATTGGTCAGCACAGAAGGCTCTGATGCTCAGCATTAGGATGTCTTAGCTCAGGACAGACAGTTACAAAATAAAACCATATAAATAAATAAATACAAAAATCACAACATACAATATGGGGAATCAGGCTGTGTAATTACTGCTAGCTTCCTGAAAGCAAAAGCATCATTCCAGGTGTCTGTATTGACTCTGGTGAGTTAGATCAGCAGAATTAAGATACTTCCCACATGCCCTTGGGGAGCAACCTTTAACTTTTGGTTGTTGATTTACACACTTCACCTTCTCAAGGGGTTGGATATTAATACTGCTCTCTGAAGAGCAACCATTTGATTCTGGCTAATTTTTTTGAAGAACCTCTTATCTAGAGTGGCCAATTTAGAAATAAGAGCAGTTTTATAATAAGCAAGATTTACACTTTTTGGCCATGTGCTACACAATTCCAAGAGGCTGAATGCTCCCGTTGTTCACTTCCACCACAGATCTCACCTGATAGCAACAAATGAGCCACACACCTTACAGGGTGGGCTACATCATACCTATGAACTAAAGCAAATCGTTTGCCTAGAAAGCTCTCTCAGCTGTGTCACTGACAAGAAGCTACCAAAGTCAACCTTCTGCACAGACTCAAAGCAAAAAGGGATATAAATTAAACAAAAAGATGAAGCAGTGTTTTAAGCCTAATTCTCAACTGCTTCCATTTTACACTTAACATGTTACAAATATCTAAAAAAAAGAAAAAACAAAAAAACAAACAAACAAACAAACAAAAAAAAAAGCAAAAAAAACAAAAAAAACACAAGAAAACCCTCCCCAGTAACCCTCTAAATTCTTCTATGAGTTTGTCTCCTCTCCCAGTCTACTTTCAGTCCCCAGTGCAAGTGTAGTACTGGGAACTACAATCATTATCCAGACGCCTGCAAACAAATCATAAGGGCAGATTTTACAGTTCCTCAGCTGAACAGACAACCACGATACAAGGAAAACACCATGCCATAGTGGAAAAAAAATACCTTCACAGGCTATTTATGCTCACGTGGGCTACAAATTGTGCAAGTCTATCCTATAATGCCTTTGAATACAATCATAGGCATAGCTGCAGAATCTGTGGGCATCTTGGCTGAGGAAAAACTAGATGATTGAATTCTGTATATTCTAAACAACCTACGACGTGGCTGAAAAACAAATCTCTCTCAAAAAGAAAATTCTGTCGTATTAATAGTGAGGTCAAAGTTTAACATGGGAAGAACCATCTTTATTGGTCTGTCATATGCTATTTGATATGTAAGAAAAGAAAGGATGCCACATAATAGTGGTACAAAATGGTATCACACACCAATAAATGAGTAGTTCTTTGTGTCCATCTGGGACATCTCAATACAGGATCAAAATGAGAAGTACTACAAGACTGCTTTAAAATGCGAGGCCTACTGTGAATATTAAAGATCTATGAATTCATTTCAATACACAGCTCTTAAACGACTTTGTGAGGGACAGTTTTCAAAACATTAAGTGGGAAAAGCACATAAACCCCCATATGTTTACATTTTGATATTGATGAGTGAAGCAAAAAATACAGTCCCCTTCCACCAATACAAATTCTGTCAGGTCTTCAAAACAAACACTTCCATGGTTGGTAATATTGAAATTGAACCACGTATTTTCCAATATTAAGGTCTGAAATGGCAGCAGTCGATGTCGCACTGGAGCAACAGAGCTGCTGCTTCACAACAGCTCTCAGCAACTGGGGTTTGCAAGGGGAGCTTGCCAGTTCTGTTTTCAAAACTATCTAGCTATGCAAAGCTCTCTTGTTCCTTAGATCCAAAATGAAAGTGTCAGTGCTTAAGCTCAGGGTTACATGAAGTCACACCCATTTGTTTTTCTGACTTCTGACTTATCTGCTGTTGAGTTATTTCCTAGAATCCATCTATATTTCTGAGTGGGGACGGGCAGGAAGGATACAGGAGTTCAAAATTCAGCTATTTGTTGGATTTTCACAGAAAGAACACCATGCAGCACAAGACACCTCAAGATATGTTCTTGTGTGCATTAAACCTCCTGAAACTGATTTTACCCTGTGGACTCTTCATTTGTACAGAAATTGAGTGAACCACAATAGAGCCTCTACATGGTTTACTAAGGTACTGTATGGCATTACACACCACCGTGACACTATGACTCCAGTAAGTCTGAGTTTCACAGTAAATCATCTGTCTTGACTACACCTGAATGTCAGTGAAGGGTCATTGGGTTTGAAATTTGCTTATTTTTTAAATCTCTGCACTTCTCTACTTAAAACATAGATGCCATGGAGAAGAAAAAATACTTGGAAAAACTGATAATAAGTGCATATTTCAGCATGAGACAGTCACTGCTAAAACTATCCAATTTCAGAATATCACGTTGATAAAGTCAGTACATTATGTTTTATGAAATACAGACTGCACGTTCACAACCACCAAGTAAGAAGGCATTTTTCCCCTCTATCAATATATATTTATCTAAGCTGCTCAGCCTGTGCAATACTCATCTTAACAATTACAAAAACAGTATTCGTTATTCCTAAGAAAATGCTGAATACAAAAGCACGACAGAAGACAATATACTGAAATGACAATTTTAATGTGTAGCATTGTAAACCAGTTAGCTTCAGAACTGAAATACATATGGAAAGAACTTTAAAAAAAAAAAAACAAAAAAACACACAACTCTGGTCACAGGTTATTTCTCTGCTGCACGTATTAAGCCATTAAACAGCAAAGAGTTCCTGATTACAGAGACTGCTATATATTACTTTTATCACAAGGTGGTGCAAGTGATCTACAAGCACATACACTTTCCAGAACTTAACAAAATATTTTGCTTGGTACTCTCAAGCTAATATGGCATTTCTCACATGTAAAAATAAAAATAAAAATAAAAAAAAAAAAACAAAAAATCAGCAAAATGAGTAAATTCCCCTTCCTCTTGATCCAATTTGGTGCATACCTTAGCTCAGAATACTGCTTCAGCCCAACATGGAAATTTCCAAAGTTTTCAACATGCTTTTAGCTGTATGCTCCAAAGAGATGAGTACCTGGAAAACGATTCTAGCCATTGTCAGGTCTGAAACATATTTATTTTACAAAGCATAGGGTACCTTGAGATTAGATGTTATTGATATGCTATTTAATTTCCTAAGCTCAATGAATTCAGGAATAAGTTTTATTTTATACACAGCAGGTGATTACTACAGTTATGCTTATTAACATATGTTAATACATTTAAATGCACTTCCACAGCAACATAACTGAGATGCAGCATCATTTTTGGCAGAAAGCTCAAAAGGAATTTTTGAATTCCGATCAGTAGTACACATCCACTTCAATGAATCCAGACAAAGCACTAACACCCCATCTTGTTTGCTCCCTGTCTGCATGGAGCACACAACTGTGAAAGTTAACTGGTGCAAAATCATCCTTTATCAATCTAAAGCAGTGTGATTTAGGTTGATAACTACTTCCTTGATATTAATATTGTCTCTTGCAGATATAGCATAACAGTTCATTATATCTTATGTATGAAATACTGATGCATTTGCACTCCAGTTACAAAGAAATTACTCCATATATTTTTATATGACCAAAACATGAATTATATATATATAAAAATATGTACGAATGTATATATATATATTTTTTAAAGAGTGCTTGACTTAATACGAAACAAAATATCTTTCTTTTATCTCAGTCCTAAAACAATTTATGTCCCTCTTCCACCAAGAAAAATCGATGAGTGGTAACTAGTCAGCTGTATATGGAACATTTGGACCAACCTACAGGATATGTAAAGCAATCTCAATACTCATCCATGATTGTTAATGCATTAACATGAATTCAGATTTTTGGCAGAATTATGCATATGTGGAAAAAGAACAGTGCAGCTCCAGCAGCCAGAAAAGGCACATACACTATAAACTGGTGCCGTCTTGGGTGCCCAAGAAGGCTAAATTCAGTTTTAGCCCATTTTGTTGTAACATGCTACAACTAGACATCCAAAATCCAAAAGATATTTACTTATAACTTCCTGCTAGGAGTGGAAGAGGATTGTTTTCTGCAGGCACTTTTCACTAGCTTTTGAGAGTTCATCGGAAAAATGCGTGATTCAAAATATGACAAAAATCAATATACAGTAGAACCAGCTTTGTATGATAACATGCAGTTATTAAACAGAATTTTCCAGTTAAAATGTTGATTTCTACTTCACAATGTGCCCTGGCCCTTTAAAGATCAACAGGCATATGGCTGTCTCAAAGGAGAGAAAGAAAAACACCTGAACTTCCTGTTTTTTAAGTGAAGTTCTCACTCAAATATATGTTACAGCATCTACAGTAGTAGCCTCAAGGGCCAGTAGTATTTTTCTGAGATTTTTAGACATTTTGCTCATATTCAGACAGTCTTAGATCTAAGGCACTGGTCAAAGGCACTAAAGTAGCAAATGTGAAGTATGTATGCA